AAAATTTTATATTTGGCATCAAAATTTGCAACAAAATGGTCGGCAACACATACGATATTGGACCATTTTTTAAACAAAAATAAAATGTTGGTTAGAGGAAGCAGATGTAGAATTTGAAATAAGTATATATCAGCGATGTCTCTTTTTATCATCTGGAGGATTTCAAGGGCAGCCCAAAAAAAACTTTGATGAGTTGTCCTTTAGAATCAAAAAACTGAAGTTTGAAGACTTAGTAAAATCAGTGCAACTGAGTCAAGCACCACTGCTGAAGTAGCATGTCGTATGTCGGGGCATAGCAACCAAGCTACTTTAATTTTAAAGAATTATCAGAAAAAATGAAATCAAAAAGCTTTATTTGTGGTGGCAGGCAGTTGAATCATGACAAGGCATTAGCTTATTACATTGACTTTAAATGTACAAGTTGTTTTTATAAACAGACGCAAAAGTGGTCTTTAAAGCCAGGACATATAGTATTTTAATCTTATTAAATCTACGTAAATCAAAAAAGTTAATGTTATCCATTAGATGAATAATTTCTATTACAGAAACACGTGCTGAAATCAACCTACAAGCCACAAATAATTAAGCAACCTTAAGCAACCACAAATAATTAAGAAACTACTAGCTACTTGATATAACTACTGAACGCCTAATTAAATCTCAGTGTGAAGTTCTTAAAAATTATACTTTTACTATGCCATTCACATTAATTAGCAAACGGAGATGTGAAGGGAGCTCTGATCACAGCACTTATAAACAGAGATTTACAAACTCTGATGCTACTGATGAGTTTCTGTATTTTCATTTGTTCTGTTGAGACTGAGTGATGGCCAAAATATTGTTTGGCAAAATCCATGACCTTTATCCACACTTTTTTGCCAACTAATTAAGTTTATTTTTTCAAAAGAAACGAATGTATTTACTACAACAGAAACCAAGTTTAAAAAGAAGTCTCAACTTATTCCAACATCTATAAGATTCGGTGAATCTCAAATTGCTGTTAAACATGACCTAATACTCTCAATGATAGATGGAAAAGTTTGCAATGCCTTGACTAATATGAGTTCCCAACAAAAATGTTATATATTTGGGGCAACTCCATTAATGATGAATGGTGAACTAAAAGACTTAGTTGGTAAAAAAGACATGGTTAAAGAACATTATGGTTTTGGTCTGTCTACTTAGCATGCGTGGATTCGCTTTTTTGAGTGCATGTTACACATTAGCTATCATTTAGATATAAAAAAAGTGGCAAGCTAGAAGCGATGAAGATAAATCTAATAATAAGTGACCGGAGCCCTGGCATTGGCTCCGGTCCAGAGTAAAAATTGAGACCCTGGCAAAATTATAAGATTTAGCAGGGGTTAATAGCCGGAGCTAGAAAAAATTTTTAATACTTTGTGTATTATAATTTCATATTTACATTTACTATTTATTACATACTGGAATATATTTATATATTTTTTAACTCTGATTTACTTTCAACAAACTTGCAAGCAACCATTATTAAGTTGAGTTGAAAAAGTAAATGGTTAACTGAAGACTTTAAAAGTTGCAGGATGTGTTAAAAATGGAAACATGAAGATGGGGAAGATTTAAAATGCTTTTTTGATGTGCAAGGACAAAAAAATGAATTAATAAAAGTTTGTTATAGTATGAAGGGACAGATACAGTAAAAGAATGCAACTTGTTGAATAGGAATCCAAGTAAGATTGAGTTTTGGTTTATCGTAATAGTGATGATAGCTTGTTTGAACATTGACCATAATAGTATTTGTAGAAAAAAGAAAGAAATGCAACCTTGCAACAATGAAAGAGTGGTTCAGGCTTGGCAGATAAAGCAGTTCTAACTACATTTACAATGTGCTTTTAGACTTTGTCTGAGAGTAAGAGGGTTGTTATTTGTCAATATAGTAATGCCAACAATATTGCAAATTTTTTTTTGCAGTAAATAAATGAGTTTTGTTGCCTTATAAAATTTAATTCCACAAGCCACTGCAAGCCTTAGGCTGTTACAGAAGAGAGATCAGATTAAAAACTGGCTGCTTGTTCTAAGCAATCAAAAAGTGAAGATTTTTGTCAAGACAAGAGTATAAAGTTGATTCATTAGCTAATAGAGATACTTTAGATGTAAAAATTTTATGAAGATTATTATTTTAAATAAGAAACATTACAGGATAGAACTTTGTGGTACCCTTAAAGTTACTTGAAATAAAGTGGAGTGTAGGCCTTCAAGAATAACTTAAATTCTGCAGTTATAAAGAAATAATTTATTAATCTCAAAAAATTTATATAAAGAAACTAATAACAGAGTAAAAACTAGTTGTAGGATAGTTAGAGAGGTCAAAATGTTTTCTAGAGTTTTGAAAAATTGGAACCCTTTATTTAGCACTTTTTAAAAGTTTAGCAAAAATTGAAGACAATTCTGGAGAACACTTTTTTAAGACAATGATGGAAATCTCATTTGGAGCACAAACTGTAGAAGTGTTCAATTGAGAATTAACTTTAGCATTAGAAGCCATAGTGATTTTAATGTTTAACAATGTGTTAATCTGTTTAACTGGCAGGAAGAGTGTGGCCATTAGATTCAAGAGTTGCATTAGAGGAAGATTTTTTTGCAAAAAACTCTGCCTTATTCTGGGGAAAAGTAAGAAGTCAGACCCATGAATTAGAGATTAAATATTAGACTTTAATCAATGATTGAAGACACTGTTTGACACTGTTGAAGACTTATCAAAATTCTCTAGAACCTAACATCTGAGATAAGAAACAAGATTTAGTAAACTTAGAATAACAGATCTTAACATCAGACAGGACCTTTCTACATTGGCTTCTTGGAATAATAAAAAGACATTTATTTATAAGAGAGATGTCTTTGTAAAAAAGATCAAAAAAATGACTACTGTTTAATAAAGCAACTGCTCAAGATGGTCAAAAATGCGAAGTAGAATGAGACTTGACTTAATATTGAAGAGAAGGAATAGAAACTTCCAAGCTTTTATTCTAGAAGGAATAAAAGCTTGCAAGATGCACTTTATGCATACATAATATGGGTATAAACATATATTTTTGCTATTTATTTAGATGCTGGCAAACAATATTCTTTCATATATATACAAACTTTAATATTTATACAGTGTAGTATTTGCCAAAATAGAAGATGATCAGATAAATGTGTGGTGTGACTCTAACATGACAAGAAAAGAGGAAGCATAGTCTTAGACAGATTAGAAAAAAAGTGTCTTATCGGTCAACATTTATTAGAGAAGATTAAAGTGATTTAGGTATTAGCATGTAGAAAGGTAGAAGATTTGGGAGAAAATGGTAATGGTAGAAGTAAGAAAATTTTAAGAGAACGCCTTATATACTGTATGAATGAGGTTTAGTTAAAGAAAGAAAATGCTCTAGATTGTTTATATTAGAGAAACAGCATAAAAGAGGAAAGCTAAACCCTGATGATGATGAAGATGATGATAATGATGATGATGAAGATGATGATGATGATGATGATGATGATGATGATGATGATAATGATGATGATGATGATGATAATAATCATGATCATGATGATAATCATGATCATGATGATCATGATGGTAATGATGATTATGATGATCATGTTGATCATAATGATGTTTATATATATATATATACAAAATGTAACATGAATTTTGAGATAAAAAAATATACTTTAGGATGTATAATTGTTTTTCCAGCTCTTGTCATAAACCCGGTAAAATATAGCCCTAGCCCTGGCTATATTTTATCAAAACGGGCCCCGACCCTGGTCAAATATCAACCCCGGTTGTTTACTACAATCTAGTGTTCAAAAACGTTTAAAAGATATCAAACAAAAATTTAAAAACTATATGGGTCTTATTGCAGACAAACCTATATATATATATATATATATATATATATATATATATATATATATATATATATATATATATATATATATATATATATATATATATATATATATATTAGCATTTTTGCGGGCTTTTTTAATACCTAGATAAAAAAGATTGCGAAGAAAATAAAATGATTATGGTAATTGATTTTGTTACACTTTTTGTTACACTGTTACACATTTTGTTACACTGTTATTACACTGTAATATATTACACTGTAAGGTTTTGTATCATGTATACATCAGAGAACAATCGTCAGCATCGGTTCTTTTTCTGATATTTATTATCCAAGTATTGTAATGTTTTCTAGAAAAATTGTTAAAAAACTTAGCATTTGATCAAATTTTTATAGCTCTATTTTAGTGTATATTTAAGTCACTTTTTTATTAAACAATTGATTATTTTATAAATATTACTTTATTTTGTGTTTCTTTTTATTTTCATATATAAAAGGTTCATTCGTTACTCTTCTTTGTGAATTTATTTTTATAATGAAAATAGCACTGAAATAGCTCCAAGCTAGAGAAAAAGTAATTATAAGAAAAGCCTTTTGTAATTAAAACTTGAATGAATGAGTTTAAAACTTTCAAAAAATTTTTTGTTATATGTAATTTAAATTTAAAGGAATAAATTTTTATAACTGTTTATAAAAAAAGATTTTATTTAAGTTAATAAATATGTGTCTATCTAATATTTTGGCTTTGATTACGTTATATTTTACATTCTCTCTTTAATTAAAAAATAATATGTCAAAACATTTAAGTAAATCTTTAATAAAAAACTTATTGACCTTGTAATCTTGTAAGAATGCTTGCAAAAACATAATAATAACCAAACGTTTTTTTTGCCTTTTTATTATTGCATATTTATGCAAAAGTTAAACAGATTTAAAATAAAGACATTTTATTTTAAATCTGTTAGATGTTTGTTACTATTTTTATTTATTAATATATAATGGTTTTTGAAATACTAAGTAAGTCAAACTCAGGTATCACTGCATAACCAATAAAAATATTTTTATTGTCATCAGTTATCTAAGGCTAAACTAGCATTAAAAGAAGTATATGTTGTTATTAAATGCTTTTAGCAATACCCTGAAAAAACTGATCGCTCCAGCTTCAGCTATATTTTCAGTGAGGAATCAGAAGCATCTTACAGGTGTTTGGCTCAAAATGATTTCAGCAAGGATGAAAGTATAATATCAGTTGTGAGAACAGGTTATTTTTTTTTAGGTTCAATAATATATATATATATATATATATATATATATATATATATATATATATATATATATATATATATATGCTTTAAATATTTTTTTTATAATTGTTTCAGATACCACAGCTCCTGAATTTTCCTTCTATCCTTTTAAAAATGAAATTCTCAATGAAGAAGATAAATTTTACTTGAAATGTGAAGCAAGTCAGTTACGTTATGAGTCATCTGTTTTAAAGAAAGGTGATCAAGTGCTTAATGCCAAATCAACTATCAACTCTATGGCTATGGTATTAGAGTATGAAATTTCTTCAGTGTCCATGGCTGATGCTGGGAATTATGAATGTATTGGAAAGTTAAAACAAGGAAATGTAACAAAATTGTTGCGCAACATTGTTGTACAAAGTATACAAATTTTCAAAACCTTTTTACTTTTTTTTTTGTGTGTGTATTAATATTCTGTCAATACATAAGATTTTAGAAAATAATTTTACATATATTTGTAAGTCAAAAAAAAATCGTTATTAAAATTATTTTGGAATGTTTATTTTTATAAAAACTTGTGCATTTTTTATTGCTTTAAGTTCTGTTTTTTGAAAACAAAAAAACAGAAATTCAAGCTTCTTTTTTTTTAATTTATCTCCCTAAGTCTCCAGATGTCTATTACAGCAAAGGAGGCTATTCAATTTTTTTTTTGTTTTGAGAAATTTTAGAAGCCTCCATGGCTAGGAGGGTACTGTACAGATAAAGTAATTGGGCAAGGTTCTTCCATGAACCCTCTGACTATGAATTAAGTGTTCTACTACTACTAGTACTGATGTCATTTGTTGTTGTATATTAGCTTACCATTTATATATATATATATATATATATATATATATATATATATATATATATATATATATATATATATATATATATATATATATATATATATATATATATATATATATATATATATTATATATATATATATATATATATATATATATATATATATATATATATATTATATATATATATATATATATATATATATATATATATATATATATATATATATATATATATATATATATATATATATATATATATATATATATATACATACACACATATTGTTATCCTTGCATATTTAGACTGGCATATATAATGAAAATGAAAAGAATAATGTATGTTGCTTTGTTTTAATACCAATGTGCTGACACTGAAGTTTAGTTAAAGTTTTTTTTATTATCAATTTCTTACCCAGATATTTTATTAATTTCTTTGAATCATTTTGCAGGCAACCAAAACCACTTTTAGTTTGTGTCTTGTTCCCCACCCTAGCTTCTAATATATATGTAGAAAATAAAAATATGTGAATTTCACAACTTCAAATTTCATGCTATTGCAATCATCAGGTGAAATACAAATACAGTTTTATTTATATATATATATATATATATATATATATATATATATATATATATATATATATATATATATATATATATGTCAGGCCTTGTTTTAAAGTGTTACGTCTAGAGCGATTTACGTACGCCTTAAGCGCTTTTTACGTAGGCGTAGAGCTGTTTTGGTTAAGCTACTTTTTATCGTTTTTTAACTTTTAAATTAACGGTAACATAAAAGAAGTAATTAATTTAAAAAAAACCACATTAACTTTTAAATAACGATATGTAAAGATATTTATTAAAAAAAAGAATTTACTTTAAAAAAAAATGTTGTAACTTTTCATCGCGATATATCTTTCCTTTTTATAGCAATTAATTTGACGCTAAACTTTTTATCCAAATATTTAGCAACATGAAAAATTGTTTGTCAATCCTTAACTACAAATTTTTTGCAATGTTTTTAATAAAAAGTAGTAATTTTTTAAAGTTTTTAGTAAAAAACTTTTAAAAAATCTATATTCCATATTTATTAATACAGAATATAAAAGTTTTTTGTAATATAGATTTTTAATGAATTTTTTACTGAATTTATAATAAAAAACATTTGCAAAAAAATTTGTAAATAAGAATTGACTTTTTTTTTAATAAAATCTCAAAAAATGTCTTAATATTTTTGTTATCATGATAACAAAAATATCAAGACATTTTTTCGAGATGTTAAAAAAAATGACTTTGCTTTTCTTATTAGTTAAAGGTATATAGTTTAAGTTTGCAGGGGGAGGGGGTCGGCACAGAAAAAAAAAATTACCTGTTACTCGCAATATTTGAATGAAGACAATTTGTTAAATTTCTTCTGCGTGCGATTCAATAAGTTTTTTTTTTCATAAATCAAGTTATATTATAAGGTAAAGAAATCATGAGTAGACTACAACATCTGCTGATGACACTAATATTACGTTGAATATATTTATATAACGGAGGTTTTATTATGCACGCGCACATTACAGGTTCCGTTAAATAAATACTAAGGCACGTTTTAGTTTAATGACAGTCTCCATTTTTTACTAATGAATATGTATTTTTCTTTATAAAACAAAACAAACTAGTATATAAAAACCTTGTATATTTCTATTATCTCTAAATTGTTTAAAGTTCGAATATGGATTGTATTTTGAAGGACAAAAGGTTTACTTTAAAAACTTTTAAATCTTGGGACTTTGCCGATGCTTTGCCAATGCGATGATCACAGAAAAAGAGAAGACTTACGTTATTAAAATCAAATGTAAGTTATGTGGTCTTCATCAAAATAAGTATCAAAAATATGCTCAAAGCAGACAAAACTTTTTTATATTTTTATAAAACGCAAGTTAAAACGCTTTTAAAAATTTTAAAAATATTTAAAAACTTAAATTTTTCTTTGCTAGTCAAAACAAAATCGTTGTTTAAATAATTAACATGGGTTTGTGTTTATCAATTTTTTGTTTACTCTAGAAATTTTTAAAAATAAAAAAAATCATTATTATTTTTTATTCAATAACGATTAAAAACAATTATTCAAAAACAAATTTCAGAAATAAATAAAATATATATATATATATTTTACTAAATAATATTGAACTAAAATTAATAATAAAATAACAATTGAAAACATTACAAAATTTTCATAATAAATTTATATAAAACGTTTATAGTTTATATTTGAGTTAATTGTTAAATTGAACTAGTTTGCGGTTATTTATTTATTGCGTAGTTTGCGGTTATTTATTTATTGCGGTAGTTAAAACACTTAACGTTTATAAAAAAAAATAAAGATAATTTTATGACGTCAAAATCGCGTTAAGCTAATGCATTAAGCACTTTTTTATTAAAAACAAGGCCTGATATATATATATATATATATATATATATATATATATATATATATATATATATATATATATATATATATATATATATATATATATATATATATATATATATATTATATGATATATATATATATATATATATATATATATATATATATATATATATATATATATATATATATTATATATATATATATATATATATATATATATATATATATATATATATATATATATATATATATATATATATATATATATATATAAATAAGCATTTAGCATTAGTTATCCATTATAAATATAAATAAATATACATTATAAGATTACAGGGTGGCCAGCGATCCTTGAATACCTTGAAAACCTAGAAACGTCCTGGAATTTGGTAGGTCCTGAAAAAGTCTTGGAAAAACATCCCTTTTAGCAATAAATCCTGGAAATCCTTGAACTTTTTTCTGAAATACTTCAATATTTCATTATTTTTTTACCTTTTTACAGAAATATTAATATTGCGTAGATTTCTACTGAATTTATTAGTTATGTATTTTCTGACTGTTGCTGTCAGTATTATTAGCATCTAGTAATTATTATATATATATATATATATATATATATATATATATATATATATATATATATATATATATATATATATATATATATATATAACTAATATTATGCCTAATACAAAGAACTGTCATTTTCAAACAGAATGGCTGTACAGAAAAAAGTGTTCTTCTTGGGTAAAATTTTTTATTTCAAATTCTAAAAAAGCAAGTTTTAGTTGGTGCAGAACAGATATTAATATCTCTAACAGATATTAATATCTCTAACAGAACAGATATTAATAATTCTAACATGGGAGTATCTGCCTCGGATTCTCATCCAACTGGTAAAAAGCATAAATTTAATGCAAAGACACATAGTGCAGCAGATATATTCTTTACTGGTAGTTGATTAGTTTTTTATTTTAATTTAAGTTTTTTTTACTTTTATTAAACATGTTTTCCTGAATTTTGTAATGCTTGCAGCAACTTAATTGGCTGTGTTCTATCAGTAACTTACATAAAAGTTCTCCTAATTTAAAAAAAAAAAAACTATAAATCTGGTTAACAAGGCAGAAATAATATGGAGCTTGCATGTAGTAATGTCACATTTTTCTTTAAGATTGTGCTTAAATTTAAATAAAATATTCAAATTCTCTGATTATTCTCTGACAGCACAATAGCATTAAAGTTTGCATTTAATTTACCAAAGATTTTAGTAGAGAAATCAAATAACCAACTAGAAGTAGACCATATTGACATAGGAGTAGTACTGAAATGCTAAGTTCTCTTCATTGTTAACCAGAAGAAAAACTAGAATTTTAAAATGAATGTAGGCAGATTATCATAATGCTATTTCAAAATTTACAAGAAAGATGTCCATTGAAGTATTTTTTTAAGAGAAATTCTCCAATTGCAATGGTTTAAAACAAGGAAGTATTGACTTTGAAATTTTAGGGTTTTGCTGAGAGATTAAGTGCATGAAATGGCTTTCAACTGATGATGTATATGATGCAAAACAACAATTTGATGATTTTTTGTGCAGAATGTGTTCAATTTAGATTCTTTGAAATGATAATAAATAAATTTGAGTCCTTTAATGAATTAACTGATTCTGTTGATAAATTTCTTGGTGTCTGTTTGCACAAAAATCAAAAGTATTCAGCATTGTGGAAAATCTGTGCTATCATTTTTGTTTATCTCATGGCCAATAGGCAATAGAACAAGGATTTATTGTTAACAAGCAGTTGTTAGTAGAAAATTTACAAGAAAGATCTCTTGTTTTCCAAAGAACAGTTTATAACCACATCAATTCCCATGACATTGTTATTCATCAGTATAAGCTTCCCAGTGACCTTTTAAAAAGCTGAAGGTTAGCATAAAATAGGTACAATTCAGTGTTAAAGGAAAATAAGGATCAGTTAAAAGTAGACAAAGTAACCAAGAAACTTAAATTGATTGATGAAGAATTTGTAAATGTAAAGAAACAGAAATTTTCTTTTGGAAAATGCATCAAAGTTTTCAAAACTGATGCTGACAAGTTAAGCATTGAAGCAGAAGAAAAGCAAAACTTCACTATCCTTATGAAAACAAATTCCTTTAGAAACACAATTTTAGAAAAAGAACTGGCAATTAAAGAGCTTGATATTTCACTAAAAAACCTTGATCAATCTAGAAAGAGACTAAATAGAAGCGTTTGATAACCTAGTGTATCTATATATATACAATATAAAATATTTTATAACTTGTACCATACTATATATGACTATATTATAACATGTATTTATATTTATATATAAAACATATTTTGAAGACAATATATTTTGTTTTTTCTGGTCGAGAAAAGATCAATATATCCTTGAAAAATCCCAAATCATCCTTGAAATATCCTGGAAATATCCTGGAATTTTAAATTAGCTTTTGGCTGGCCACCCTGGATTATTACTTAGAGTATGTACTTTGGTGATTCTTTTAGATGCTAAATTTTTTTAAGTCAAATAAATAAATAAAGGTAAAATTAAAATAGTCAACTAATACAAAAGTTTAAAAAATTACTAAATCTAAAATATTTTAATGAGACTCCATGATCATGTTGTTAATTTCTATATTAAAATTAAGCTATATATTTTACATATACTAAAATTCATAGTAACAAAAAACATAAAACATAGTATGTTTTATGTTTAATATAATATAATATGTATATTATGTAATTATAATATAACAATATATTTTGTTATATACTGTATTATAAACATTAAATGATTTAAATTTTTAGAGTTAATCAAACCTTCTATTAATAACTTCAATGACTTGACATTTTTTCAAAATGTTGAAAAAAATAAAGAATTGAGATGCAATGCATCAGGTAATCCTCAGCCAAAAGTGACTTGGAAACGTAATGGTATTTTACTAAATGATATTCCAAATCTTAAATCCATTGAAAGTTGCAAGCATTCTACAGATGGGATCTATATTATGGAAAACAATGTATTAATGCTTTGTAACTTGAAATTCAAAGAGCATGATGGCATGTATGAATGTACAGCTTCTAACAAAGTTGGTGTGGTATCAAAAGTTATGAATTTAACTATAAAAGGTATATTTGAAATCGTTTTAAGTTATTTAATATTTCTTACTATGTTTTGAACGTTTGTTTTTCACTAAGTTTCTTTCATAAAAGATATTAGTTTTGGAAAAAAAGAAAATATCAAAAACTAACTTAAAATAAAACATCACTTATTTTTTTTTTGAAAAATATTTGTATTAAAATATTTAATGTCAGAATACTGGTATATATGTTACCATGTCATAGATGATCATTGCAAAACCACAAGTATGACATCATTTAAAGTATGTGTATTAGAAAGTATTATATCATGAAAATTACTTTCAAAAAATATCCTTTTATAGAAAATACCATGTCTTGTAAAATAGCATGCTATTAAAATTATTTAGAAAATAGCATTTTGTAGAACTTAAAAAAAGTACCATATTATTAAAAGTATTAGAATATTACATTCTATATTATTATCATAATAGAATATAATATATAAATTGTAGCAAGTAATATATTTGTATTTCTAAATTGCAAAGTTTCTAGTATTTTTTTTTAGCTAAGCCTGCCATATTGAAGTCTGAAGTTGTTTTTATGGCACCTTCTTCTTTACAGCTTACTTGTGTTTCATTAGCTAACCCACCTGCCAATGTCACATGGTATAAACTTAATCAAAAGAATCAAACGTTTTATCTTAGCTCTCAGATGGTTACTATTCAATACACCATTGAAAATGTAGATTCTAGAAACTCTGATTCTTACATGTGTACAGCTGCTAATGAGTTAGGGAAGATTGAAAATATTGTCACTGTAAAACCAAGTATTTCAGGTAATTTAATAATTGTTTTTTAATACATTAATGGGTAGGTTAAAGTTTTTTAATACATTAACGGGTTAAAGTTTGTTAATTAAAGTGTGAGCAGTATCTGCGTATAAAATGTATAAATATATTATATATATTTATATATATATATATATATATATATATATATATATATATATATATATATATATATATATATATATATATATATATATATTATATGTATATTATATGTATATAGATATATGTATAATATATGTGTGTGTATATATGTGTGTATGTAAGAATTTAATTTTATTAAATCTAGCTAAGCAATTGACATTTATACAAGTTTTTTTAAATCTTTGACCCATATTTGTAAAATGTGTAAAATTCACATTATTTAACCCTTTTGTTGCTTCCCATAACCTTTATCTCCCAGTGATGTCATATAGCATTATTAACTTTAAATAGCAAAAAAACTATGTGGATTATTAACTTTAAATAGCAAAAAAACTATCTGGTATAAAAAGATCATTGGTTTTGGTTAAAGATGTTTCAAAGCATAATAAAAATCTTTGCATACTATTGAAACTGATGATGTAAAATATGCAATAGCATTTTACCTGAAATGTGGTAATTCTTTTTTCGATTTAATTTTTTTCGCTCTATTTGAGTTACACTATTTGAAGTCAATGATGTCATACGACATCAGTAGGAAAAATAAGGTTAATGGAAACAAACTTTTATAGTTAATTTTTAACCATTACCTTTAATAGCTTACTAAAATAGTTTTTATATAAATCAATAAGTTTTTAACCAAATGCTAATCTTACTGGATCGCTTCGTTTTAATACCAATGTGCTTACACTGAATTTAGTTAAAGTATTTTATTCTCAATTATCGAGTATTTCATTAATATATTTGACTCATTTTGCAGGCAACCAAAAGCACTTTTGGTTTGTGTCTTGTTTCTGATTCTAGCTAGTACTCATTTTCTAATTGTTCTCCTTTAAGTAGTTCAGATCTATGGCTATGATCTCACTCAAACTTTTATTTTGTACTTCCTATCTAATCTCCTGGATTAAGGCAGGCATGTAAACTTTTCTTCTTTCTCATCAATTTCAATTCAAGCCTCTCTCTATACCATAGTTTTCTCATTGTGCAGTTGCTATTTCTAATTGTATGTATCTTTTTTAGCTTTTTTCACCAGAACAACACTTTTGAAAACAAATGTCTTATATCATTAAAAGAAATTGATGAAAATATATACAGTATTGGACAAAACATTTGCAACCAACATCGAACAATGCTAAAAAGTTATCCTAATTTTACATGTCTTAAAAACCAAACGAACTATACTACCACAGCAAACAGTTTAGGAGTCTGGAGTCATAGCATGCTATGACATGAGCAATCAGCTGACAGATGACAGCACACATGCAGAATTTCGTTGACAAGTGCCATTTTGCAGCGGAAAAAACAAGTGCAACTTTTTTGGTTTGTTCCATTTTCTTAAGTATGGTCCATGTTAACGTCACAGAAGTTTTTTAATAATTAAAGGAAGTATCCAGAAGTTTCCAGAAGCATGCAGAAGCTTCCAGAAAAAGCATCTGGAAGCATCCAGAAGTATCCAGAAACATTCAGAAGTATCCAGACGCATCCAGAAGCATAGAAAAGAAGCATCTAGAATCTTCCAGAACAGGTTCACACAGGTTCATTTTACTATATAAGAGACATGTAAATGGACATGTAATTCAGTCAGTATATGGAAGTCAATCAGTCAGTATTATCAAGACCTTTAAGTTTATCGAAGTGAGTTTTATCAAAGTGTTTTATTGAAGAACATCAATACAAGAAGTGAAACACAACAAGTGTTTCATTACATCAATACAGTCCACATCCTACCAAGAAGTTGTGTTCCACAGAGCGTTATTGTATCATCACAAGGTAAATGTAACGCGGTAAGCTTTGAGAAGCGTGATTATTTTTTAAAATTATTTTTATGACTTCAAGTACAAAAATGGCTCCCGACAGTCTTGGATTGGAACTAAGAAAGAAAATTATTGGCGATTACGTAAGTGGAATGTCACAAAAAAGTATTTGTGATAAATATCGCATGAAAAAATGGACCGTATCAAGACTATGTTCCAAATATCGTTTTACGGGGAAGTTGGCAGCAGATAACAAAAGTAGAAGACTGCGTTCCACCACTTCTAGAGAGGATTCTATGATCGTCAGATCCATCAAGAAGGATCCCTGAATATCATCAATCGAGATACAAAAGCAATTAGAGCTGCCTGTATTGGACCAAACAATCAGACAACATGCTATTGAGGCCAGATTGTTTTCTTGACGCCCTGCAAAGAAACCGCTGATTTCACTAAAAAACCAGAAGAAAAAAGTCCTGTTTGCTACTCATATTGTTCAGTGATGAATCTAAGTTCAACATCATTGGGAGCGATGGCATTTGCCATGTACGCCGACCGACCAGAGAAGACATAGATTTAGGTTACTGCCATAAGACCGTGAAGCATGGTGGAGGCAATGTAATGGTCTGAGGGTGTTTTTCTGCTAACGGTCTAGGTAATACATCCAATACATCGAATTGATGGAACAATGGACCGTTTCATGTTTAAAAGTATCCTAAAAGATGTTATGTTACCTCATGCTGAATGGAATATGCCAATAAAATGGGTTTTTCAGCAAGACAACGATCCGAAACACACCGCAAAAGTAGTCAAGCAGTGGTTTCAAGACAACCACCTATCGGTGATGGATTGGCCGCCTCAATCTCCGGATCTCAACCCTATCTAGAACCTGTAGGAGATCGTCAACTGCAGAATTAATCATGAAGGTGTTCGTAATAAGGATCCACTGTTTGAACAAACCCAAAAGGCCTGGGCAGCGATTCCACAAAGTTTCATTGATCACCTGATCGAATCTATGCCTCGAAGATGCAAGGCTGTGGTCAACAACAAAGGATTTGCCACAAAATATTGATAGAGAAATACAGCTTGGTCAACATTGTGTGGAGTTGCACTTGTTTTGTCTAGAAGGAAATCAACTTTTTTTAATACTTTTGATTAATTTATTAAGTTTTGTGTACAAATAATGAACTTTGTGATAAATAAAACTTGAAAAACGTTGTCTCTAAACAGTTGCATAGTTATTTCTCTAAATTGAACAAATGCAGCACTTTTATATAAAGAAACTAAATTAGCATTACTTGGTTGCACTTGTTTTGTCCAATACTGTATCTTATAAAGGGTTTTTCTTTGACCTCTCATAGAAACCATATAACTAAACCATAGCAAGAATAGCTTTTGCTAAATTTGGTTTACCTTGTTTCTTATTTTTTTATCGGGCCTTGTTTAAAATACTGTTGTTATGCTGGTTGTTTGAAATACTGTTGTTATGCTCGTTATTTTAATGTTGCCCTTACTTTTTTAGACAATGTCTAAAAAAGGAAGGGAAACATTAAAACAAACTTTTGTCATAAGGTTGCATTTTTTTTATTTTTACAAATAAAAAAAATGCAACCTTATATGCACAAAAACCTGGATATGTTTTTTATGCATATTTGTCTCTATATCCATATTTTATTTTTTTTTAAATTATTGATGTTTTTAAACTTGGAAGTGGGTGTAGGTGTTTGGCTTTGTAGTGAGGTCTGTTTTATTGCAATAATCACTGATATGATGTAGGCTACAGGCGATGATAAAGGTAGAAAGGATGCATCCTTGATAAGTGATGGTAGCCATTTTTTATCAGGCTTTCCAAAATATCATTGGTAAATATAATGTGGCCCTGACGATGAAGTTTTACCTACATTAGTCCACTACTTAATTTTAATTGGATCTTACAACAACATATTTTTTATATGGTGTTGTAAGTTGTATGGTATATTATATCTTCTACCCTCCCCTTTTGGTTTATATATATACACTACCGTCCATAATTATTTGAATGGTCGTACTTTTCGATATAAGATATCAAAGTTTAACTTACTATTGGAAGAGAAACTGAAAACAAAGACCACTTGATTTATATATCATCTTCGTGTTTATAAGATTTATAAAAAATTTAATATATAGTTCCATTAGATTAGTTTATAATTTACTTGCCTTTTAATCAATCTTAGCAACAATAACCACCATACATATTCTTGTCATTCTACTTAACAATTTATCTAATTCGTCAAAAGTCAATTTTATGCCACTAACTAATAATTTTTATACACATCTTATGCGTTTCACATCACTTATGCATCATTAGAAATCAGTTTTTAACATTACTTATAATTCCTCCCATAAAAATCCGATAGGAGAGAGATCTTGTGATTGGGGTGGCTAAATCATTCTATTCAATATTTGATCGTTCTCGACCTCAATCAAATAACTTATAATACAATTTTTTGAAAAATAAAAAATTGTCTTTGTTTTGTTTGCACGTGGCTTTTTTTCATATTTATTTTCGTTTCATTAATTTATTATTAAATGTATAGTATTTATATATTTTTTTTTATTTTATATAGTTACTAATTATTAGTTTTGTTTTTCAGTTAATGTATTTTTTTAATATTTATTATTTTCAATCAAAACATCAACATATATAGCATAGCTTAGAGCATCAATCTAATAAACTGAAAGTTCCTGGTTTAAATCACGCTATATGCATATTACATTTTTTGTATTATTTTTTTTTTCAGTTTTTTTTAGATCTTATGCATGGGTCATGATTTTCCCTTAAAAATTTGATTTTATTACATGCACGGTACCTATATAATCATTATTTTTTTAATGTACGCTTTATTATAGTGTCTTAATTTTGTTCTGGACATTGTTCAATATATCTTTTTAATTTTTTTATCCTCCCTCTTTTCCTTTAACAAAAAATAACCTTATGCAAAATATTCTTGCTTTTACTAATTTTTTTTATGATTCAACAGTCTACAATATTGAATAATTCAATAAAGTTGCATCAGAAACAACATAAAAAGCAAAAAGCTCTTAGTTTAAACATATAAATAAATACAAATAGGTAGATATATATAACAAATAGGTAGATATATATAACAAATAGGTAGATATATATAACATATAGGTAGATATATATAACAAATAGGTAGATATATATAACAAATAGGTAGGTATATATAACAAATAGGTAGATATATATAACAAAGTATTGCAAAATTTTGTTATTGAAAAGCAGCAAAAAAACTGTCATCATTTTGTCATCTAGTTGTAGTCAACAATTTTTTTTTTCCTGATGCATTTTTTTAAAGAGGTCCACGCCAAAAGATGCAAAAAGGGGGACTTCTACTACTAAGTAATTATTATTTAGATTAAATGCAGTCATCAAAGGAATCAAATGCAGTAGTGGTGTAGTGGTAGAGTGCTCACCTCATAAGTGAGAAGTTCTGAGTTCAATCCCGTCCACATTCCTGGAAGTACCATGCTCAACTTGTTTCTCTACACAGCGGCCTTGTTTGTCAAGGTTCGTGTTTCGGAGTTATGGAGTTGAAAGAGGGTTGTAACCACAACTAAAAGTAGCCTCCTCGATTGCAGTGGCCTTTGTGGCCTTGGGGAGGTGAATTAAAATAAAATTAAATTAAAAAAACAATTTTTATCAATAAATTCAAAGAACATATCAAAACTTCTAAAATTTACTAATACCAAGAACTGCAGACTCATCAAACTTACTTCAAAGTGTATATTAATAAAGCTCTATTTAAATACAATTAAACATACTGATGATGATGGCAATGATTTGTTATAATAAATCATATTTAAAATATTATTAACTTTAAAACTACTACTGTAATAATAATTTAAAGATATGTAGTATTTATTGTTGTTATGTGATTTAAAAGTCAAAATCTTTTTTGCTTATTTTGGCATAAAAAATTGATATTGAAAAAAAAAAAAGATAAACATAAAAGTATTCTGGCTAGTTATTGTGTTCAAGTAGATATTTTGTTATTGTGTTCAAGTAGATTTTATTTTATTTTGTGTTAAACTAGGTTTATAATTTTAGATAAAATGATTGGTTCAATAAAGAGAGAAACTCTGATTGGTGTTCTTGTTCCTGCTATCTTAATTTTATTAGTTGCTTTTATTGGTATAGTATTGTACAGAAATCATTTAAAAAACAAATATGCTCTTTATCTTGCTCCAGACAAAGATTATGTTGTAAGTTGTGTTTGTTTGTTTTATTTTATTTCCTACTAAATTTTTTCTTTTAATTATCCATATCTAATAAGTAAAAGAATTTTGATTAGTTATTGAAGTTGTTTAGTTAAGTAAATATATATAGGAATTTATGTAACAGCTTGATTTTGTTGACACGAATTCAATAAAATAAAATTTTTAAAGTAGTTCAATAAAAATAAATTGTGCATTAAGGTACAGCTAGAAAAGCGCTAATTTCAATTTGAGAGTTCTTTCAACTTGAGAGTATTGTTATAAGTTTGTAGTATTCAATTCAAAATTGTTAATTTCAATTTGAGAATTCTTCCATAAGTTTGTAGTCCTTTGCTATCTTTATCATTGCTATCTTTATAAATTTTAAGTTTATAGTCAATTAAGAGATAAAAAAGATTTAAAAATAAATAAAAAAATAATAATTTTTTTTGCTTTTATTATTGACCAAAAAAATAAAAATAGTTAGTTGTATTAAAAGTTTAATATTTTCTGCTGTTCAGTACACTGTACAACTTGTTCAGTACACTGTACAACTTGTTCAGTACACTGTACAACTTGTTCAGTACACTGTACAACTTATTTTTTACTAAGCAGATTTAAATAATTTATTGGTGTTTCAAAATACACATTTTTTTTTATGAATGAAAGTAAAAAAAGATTTATTAAAGCTGTAAAAGACCTTATATAACCTCTAGATGTCATGTTTTGGTTTTTAGTAAAAGTGTTTTAGTGAAAAATTGTTTACTATACTTGTAAATATTATGGACTTACTTTATATATGAGAAGTTTGGAGTTCAATCAGTACCACATTCCTGTTAACAATTATAAATAAAAATGTCAATGACAATGAATTAAAAAAAAAAGAAAGAGCAGCAACTATGACAGCTAAAAATCAGGAGGTGAAAATGAAGAGGTGAAACACCAAATAAAAGTTTATAAAATATAAATATAAAAATTAAAATGAAGAGGTGAAACACCAAATAAAAGTTTATAAAATATAAATATAAAAATTAAAATGAAGAGGTGAAACACCAAATAAAAGTTTATAAAATATAAATATAAAAATTAAAATGAAGAGGTGAAACACCAAATAAAAGTTTACTAAATCATCAGTTTATGTATCAAAGCAACTATTCAGTTTTGAAAGTAGTAATCTCATTGCATTAAAAAAAATTAGTAATTATTTAAATGTGAAAATCAGATGGCAAAATATTGACAAAATATTATTAACATTAATTTAACAAAAAGTCATTAAAAATTGGTTTTTAAATTTAAAACTTAGATAATAATGAAAGTTTAAAATACCAATAGCAACATTCAATATGGTTTGCAATTTTCACTCATTCAATATAATTTGCAACTTTTACTCATTAAGAGCAATTTCATTTTAGATTATGTTATATATATTTTTATTTAATATGACAGATTGACCCAGATCGAACATTGTTTGAACAAAGTGGTGAGCTACCTTATGATACAGCTTGGGAATTTCCGAGAGACAGACTAAAGTTTATTAAAACATTGGGTTCAGGAGCCTTTGGAGAAGTTTGGTTAGCTGAGGCAGAAGGAATTAATGGTTAGTTATCCAATAAAAATCTTTTTTTTTATTAAAAAAACAGTCTTAAGTCTTATTTTTATTACATTTTTTTGTTTTTACTATATAATAAAAAAATTTGTTTTCATTATATAACAAATCCTTGTCTAGATTTGTTTTCACTATATAACAAATATTTTTCTGGATTTATTTTCACTATATAACAAATATTTTTCTGGATTTTTTTTCATTATATAACAAATACTTGTCTAGATTTGTTCTCACTATATAACAAATACTTGTCTAGATTTCAGGCCTCGTGATCTAAGCACTGCTGCAATAAAGCAAAGAAAACTTATGAAGAAGCAATCAAGGCGTTATACAAATTTAACCATTCGCTACAAAAAGAATATTAATTCTAGTAAAATTGAGTTAGAAAAAACAATGGTCGCTGTAAAAACTTTAAAAGGTATTTTTTCATTTAACCTATTTTTAAGAAATCTATTTAATAATAATCAATGAGGTAATGGTATTTACGCATTGTTTAATTCGGGTATTGTTATAAAGTGGTTAGAAGATAAGTTTTTGATTTTTATTAACTGGTAGAAACAACAGAAACAACTGAGAATTTGTGGGGATGTAACTAACTGGGATTTTATCATAGTTGACCAGTTTGAAATGTACATTTTCTGATAATTAGGCATAGACAAGATTTTGCACACCATCTTTATGATATTTTCCAAAGCAATATGTGTTTTCTGAAATATATAACAATCATATTATATATTTTTTAACATATTTTTCAGGACATGTAATCAGTTTTAAATTTTATTAATTAGCCTGTTAATCCTAATAAGAACAATTTATTATATAAAGTGAAAATTAACATTTTTTTGTGTTTTTTGCCCATTTACCGTTGACTCTTAAGTTAATTTCAAACTCTGTATATATGCTTCTTTAGTGGTTGCATAATTAATGTTGGTACAATTAGCAAATAATTGCTACAAATAGTTTTTATAATTAATGTTTTTCTGTTTTAAGCAAAGTACAAGCTGATTCAGATTAATGATTATATAAAAATATAAACAGAAAATTTAGACAATAAGCTAATAAACAGGTAGAAAATTTTATATTTTTATTTTTATTTAAAAAGCAATGTTAAATTTTTTTTTACTATTATTGCTATAGTTATGCCGATTACTGATTTTGCACACAAAAAATATCTGAAAAAATGTCACTTAGATGTATATGCTTCCTTTCTTTTTTAAAAAGAAAACGTTCATAGTATACATACATACATACATACATACATACATACATACATACATACATACATACATACATACATACATACATACTTGCTTTAGTTTTTTTGTTGTTTTATTTAAGACATGTTGTTTTTAGCTAAACAGCTTTGTATATACAAGTCTTTTAGGTATCCAGATTATATGAATTGCATTAAAAAATATATATATAGCAGGATTGAAGCTATTGATAATAATGATCCTCAGTAATTAAATGCTAGTCTAACTTAGAGAAAAGTAAAAATAAAAATAAAAACAGTTGTTATCAACTTTGTGACCAGATGTGATGTGATCAATATATCTGTTAATTAAATTGATTTTATTATCTAAGTTGAGTTTTGAATAAGAATCTCTCATTGTTTTCTTCTAAATAGTTACTAGTTTGTTGATGAGTAGTTTTCTCAAAAACTTAAGATGTTATATGAAGGACAGAATTTGGTCTTTAATTATCAAGCTTTATTTTGTTGCCAGATTTATGTATGGATACAACCTTATTTTTTCATTCATTGAGTCCTGTTTTTATAAAAAAATTAAAAATATGTGATTTAGGAACTTTTATTTTGTCTTTGCTATCTTAAGTAAGGAAAAATGAAGATTGCTGTTACTGGCAGATTTATTTGTTTTTAGCACACTTAAAATGGTATCAGTTTGACACTAATTTGACAGAGACAAATATTGCTCTTTGTTTCATCACTTCAATGAAGCTTTATATTTCCATTCATAGTTTATTACTGGGTTATGAGTTTTAAGGAGTAAGTTGGTAATGAAAGAAAAATATTTTCCGGATTGCACTTACAATAACTGATTTGATGTGCACTTTCCATCTAATTCAAAATTTTTAAAAGTAATATCATTGTATGTTAAAAAGTAATCTAATATGAAAATTGTAAAAATTTTACTAAAATAACTCCAAACAAGAAAGCAACAAATTGTTCTGAAATAACTCCAACTCAAATAGGAGAATAAATAATAAAACCTTTTTTATTTGAGAGCAATTTTTCTATAAAAGGTATATAAGAGTGCACATGTGCAATTTTTAAGTAGTTGTTGCACTGCACGCAAATGTTTATTTATGGATGTTTATTTATCTTAATAACAAAAAAACACCTGTTGATTTATTTAAATATTTTCTCGTGAATGATTGTTGAAAGTTGAAATATAT